GTAGGGTCCCCTATAAGGATCCTACTATTTAGGGTACTATGGTAGGGCCCCCTATGTTCGGAAACCCCCAGTTCACTGGGCCGGAGGCCGGCTGGTCCGCGACGCAGAGGACATCATTGGCACTGAGGAAGATGGCCTCACCCAAACACTGAGTTTCTGCCTATAGTCTCCATTGTTGTTCCTTTTTTTGGCTTAACCAATTATATATTAAGGATTTTATAAGGTATCCCCAAAAAGGAGCTACAATGGAGACTATAGGTGTTATCGACTCCAATTAAGAGCCTGTGGGGCCGAAAATCTTGTCGCACAGCTCATTTTCTCTCACACAGTTCAGCAATCTAGGCGCCGCGGAAGTTTCGCGGAGCAGTGGCAAGTTCGTCTTTCCCGACAGGGCTTGCTTCCTGGAGGTATTCTTCATCTTGTCATATCACATGACATCTAAATCAATTCTGTCATGCCTTTTCCATTTCAGGAAGGACAACCTGTCTGCTAGTTCCAGTCAGGTCAGAACTCTACAGCACCCGAGTCACTAGTCTTCACCCTCACTGCCCGGCTCCAGATCGTACCTCAGTCGGTGCGCATGGAAATCTAAGGGGTCTGGACGGAGGGAGTTGAGGTTTACGTACCCTAAGCCGATCCCTGAATTTCAGTAGTAATAGCCAGTACCCACAACCTAAGATCCTGCGAGCCAGGAATCGAGGACTCGCCGAAATCCCAACGCCGGAAGCTTACAGTACATCCTAAACTCCCGAAACCCTGAAAAAATACTCCAATGAGCAGCCGGGAGACCTGCACTTTCGGTGGCAGGCCTTCTCGGCGGCGGAAATGAAGGTGGCCTTCCACGAGTAGCAGTTCGTTTGGAAGCCTCAAGGCGCGACCCCTCTGCCAAACTTCGGAATGCGTGCTTCGCGCGCAGAGCTGAGGAAGGTGAAAGCTCTTAGAATCAACATGCGGATGACCATTAACATTATGATAAGGCTGGGGAAGAACAAATGAATAACAACGACAAACCAGGATTAGGACTTATGGCAGGGCCTAGTGCTGCGGCTGGGGCTGGATTAGGACTTGGACGCAGTAGGATCGGACTAGCAGGCGAAGTCGTCGCAGCAGTAGTAGTCGTCGTCGTAGTCGTAGTCGTAGTCGCAGTCGCGGTCAAAGTCGTAGTCGTAGTCGTAGTCGTAGCAGTAGTAGTAGTAGTAGTAGTAGTAGTAGTAGTAGTAGTAGTAGTATAGTAGAAGTAGTAGTAGTAGAAGAAGTAGTAGTAGTAGCAGCGGTAGTAGTAGTAGTAGTAGCAGTACAGGTATATTAGTATATAGTAGTATAATAGTAGTAGTAGTAGTAGTAGCAGAAGTAGTAGTAGTAGTAGTAGTAGTAGTACTAGTAGTAGTATAGTAGTGGTAGTAGTAGTAGTAGTAGTAGTAGTAGGAGTAGTAGAGTAGTAGAGTAGTATATAGTCGTAGTAGTAGTAGTATACGTAGTAGTACTAGTAGTACTAGTATAGTAGTAGTAGTAGTAGTAGTAGTAGTAGTATAGTAGTATAGTAGTATAGTAGTATAGTAGTATAGTAGTATAGTAGTATAGTATACAGTAGTACTATATTCGTAGCACTAGTAGTAGTACTATATAGTAGTAGAGTATAGTATTATACGTATCGTAATAGTAGAACTCGTAGTTGTTCAAGTTTCCTTTCTAGACAATCATGAGGTATTCTTTATTCAACACATTATCTTAATAATAATACTTCTTCTTCTTCTTCTTGTGGTCGTGTTCGGTTGGCGAGTCCTCCCTGCCAAACCATGCAGCGACCTCACGCAAGCCTGCTGCATTGCATATACACACACATATACAGATGTCCATGCAGAGAAGAGGAAATCATGTGAATGCACGCAGTTGCTGAATGTCTTGTGCTGGCAGAGAAGCCTCGCTAAGCACAGTGAGCAGGGGTACATACCTCGCTCCTCAAACTTATGCTGCCTGCCTCGCAGCATTCGGAGGCTTATATAGTTGCAGCGACACTCCTCCAAAGCCATGGAAAGGCAGTGGGAGTTCTGCCTTGGTGTGCAGCCGACCGGGGATGGCGTGTCCCTTGTGCCACAGGAGTGGCAGCTGGTCGTCAACTACGAGATGCAGCTTGCACTCAACGCGGACCGGCGGGACGAATCCTTTTGGTACGAGGGCCAACCCTGGTTCATTGTCGAATCAGACTGGCACGACATGCGCCTCTACCAGTCCCTGACGATCCCGCAGAACAACCTTCTGTTCCGCCCGAGGCGTGACTTCCACATTGTCTTGGATGTCTACGCCTCCGTGATCCCGAGCACAACGTGGGTCAGGTCCGATGTATACATATATATATATATGTACAATCTATGTAGGGTATATCCGTGCTGTCTTGCTTTTTACGTATATAGACCTGTTGCAGGTTCTTTGCTCCTTCCAGCTGTTATACACAGACATGTGTATAAACCCTCTTCGCTGCTGGAGTACATATATATATATA